CGTCAGCCATCGTGTTTTAAATTTCGGATGTGTCACTGCCGCTATTGCAGCGAGTTTTCCGGCTCCCTCAACTTCAAAAAAGTTCTCGAATCGAGATTCGAGCGAGCTTTTTATAGCCTCAAGCAAGGGCTGACATATCGTGATCGTGTTTTTGCTTAACAAATTGTCGACTTTTTTTCTCAAAGCGACCAATGTGGGTAAAAGGTACCCGTAAAAACAATAACTTTCACCCTGCAAGATATCGATCGCTTCCGCTAGCGGTTTCGTACATTCGATGTATTCTTCGAGGTATTCAAAGTCCGAGTGTCTGAGTGGATTCCTCAACTGAACAATTTGATTCATATCGCGATGAAGTATTTTGTCCTTGAGCTGAATTATTCTTTTTAGAGAATCGTAGAGTGAATTCCACCGAGTTATTACAGGCCTGAGCAATGCTTTGCCCAAGTACAGCTTCAGAGCTTCATTTGTTTTCGGCGATCTCAGTGACTTCCATAACCAATTGCATCGGTCGAGAGCGTCCGTATGTACGTCAGCGAGATTATGAGATGCTTGAATTGCCTTGATAACATCCGTTGTCGCTATGAGATGCAAAGTATGACTAGCACAGCGAATATGAAAAGGCAAGCGGTTATGGAGTTCCTCGGTATAGTCAAAAATTTCGTTCTCGAGTGGCTCTTCCGGCAAAACATCTTCATCGGTAGTATCGGAACTGTCTCTATTAGCACTATTATCGTCTAAAAAAAAAGTTGCGTAATTAAATATTGTGGACGAACATGTTATAAATAGAAGATTTGGTGCTTTTGACGACTCGGGAAACTTAACTGAGGGTACTACTACGGTCGTAAATCTAATAGAATTTACATTGGTACTTGATTTAAGTCAGAATTCGATAGATTTGCGATTGACATTTGCCAAAAACAGAGTTTGCATTTTATAATCTCTGATTAATTATGAGATTTCTGAATTTGATAAATGGTGAATATGACCCATGTGAGCGACGATGGAATATATTTATCAAATTCAGAAATTTCATAATTAATCAGAGATCGTAAAATGTAGACTCCACAGTCGTAATTATCACCTTCTAAGGTGGTTCATTCATATTTTGCACCGTACCGAACGATTAGAATGCCCACATTTATTGTAGGATGGTGAGAAACGAAAATCGTCCAAAATTGCTCCAACTTCTCTGTATAGCGGTACGATTAAAAAAATATCTCGAATAATATACCAGAAGAAAAGATGTCATCGATGTCTACTCCAAAAACCTTGAATGCTTTAACGAAATTCGATCCGTTATCGGTAACTGTCGCTATGATGTTATCGTTATCTAAGCCAAAGGAGGTATGGATTTCGACAAGTGCATCTGCGATCGCTGTGTGTGAATGAGTAGGGGAAACGCGTACACGCAATAGCCGCCGATTTACGTTCAAGAGTCCCTTCATCGATCTATTGAACCAAAGAAATAAATAAATAAGTGTTTTATCGTTCTATCAGGTAACCAATTATGTTTACAGATAGTTACACACTAAAGCAAAATTATAAAATTCTCCGCCTTTAAATTGAGTATCAAGATAAACTTTTTGCGGTTAGTATTAGAAAATCCTAGTTCACAAGAAAGTATAAATGATCCTTAAGAAGGAAAATTTTTTTTATGTTATGAATTATCCCAGCAGCCACGCAAACCTTGGATCGTAAATAACTTAATTTAAAAGTGAAACTAAGGACGACATGGAGCTCGGACGTAAAGGATTTATATTAAGAGTGCAAATACCCAGTGGACTGTAACGCCGATAAATCGTCGATTCATTCCCGTCCAAATATCCGCCGTTGTGCAAAAATGTTTATTTGTGGAAATTGCATTTCGAATTTTTGCTAAATTCTCCTTACATATAGCGTCGATTTTCGAGCCGAGTGTACGCCTAGACATGAATTTCACGGAAGCATTACCTGCTTTTATTTTTAAATCTACAAATTTCAGTATATCACATTGTAGTTTGCAGTGTTAGATGCATTAATAATCATACGTTTCTATAAAACTCTTTAGCGGACTAATAATGTATTTACCATCAAACATCCTGCGAAATGCTGGCATCTCCACAGTTTGTAACGGCGCTCCACTTTCTAGAACGTAGTACGAAACGTTCCGATCGAACTGCTCTTGGTTGAATGAACATGTTGTCCGTTTATAAGCAGGTGGTTCCTCATTATTCAATCGCTGCCGTTTAATTTTTGTGTAAGTCTTGTATTGGCCGTACAATGCGACATGTCGTCTCTACAAATTCATAACACGGAATATTATATCCCTTTCAGGCAACCCGGTGCACGTAGTGAAGTGGTTTCGTTTAATATTAACATATAACATGTTTACTTACTCTTAAGTGTGTTGTATAGTGCGACGACACTGTGAGTCTACCAGTTATAGCTTTCGTCGGTACACACGTCTTGCAATCAGCTACAATATTACCATTAGGCGTAGATTGCTCGAAATCCACTTTAAAGTATTTGCCATCCAAATAGGGTCTTTTTGCGCACGCTATGCGAAAAGCTTTTTCTTCCTCGGATATTCTCAGGAACGTTTGTGGGCAAATACTCGTCAATTGATAATTGACTCAAGGAAGCTATATTATTATCATCATCATTATTTCTGCTTCCGGGCAGTGGTTGATTAATATCCCCTGGATCATCAACGTTGATTGAAGCTTCTAGAGCCGCCATGTTTGATATCCTATTATATTCACATTTTACAGGTTGAATAACAAATTATGTCAACAAATTTAAAATAATATTTGATAAGCAAACTTTATTTAACTGCACGGTATTAATATGTTTTTAGTATTATTACTATTGAAACTCACACACACAACCCAGTGAGAAATGATTCGTCGATCGATGTCGAAACGATGTCGAATCGACATCGATACCGTCAAATTGACGTCGATTCGACATCGTTTCGACATCGATCGACGAATCATTTCTCACTGGGAATGTTCTTGATATGGTTGATGTTTTCAGATTTTCATCTCACGACGAGATATTAAAATCCTCAACGAATCTAATTTTTTTATCTTACTGTAACGCCAAATATCCTTAAATGTTAAAGAGAGTTAGTGATTATAACATAACACTTAAATTTTTCTATCTTGTAGCTGAGATATATCGATATATATATATAGCACCAAAAATATGTATAATACAGGCAATGCGTATCTATGAAGTATGAAATTAAAAGTATACAATTTCTATCCGGTACTTCTAAGAAACGGGAAATCCGAGATATAACACTTACCTGAAATTTGTAAAGCGTTCCGCAGTATCACACGAGATTGCATACGATTCCGTATCGCGATTTTAATCAACGTATTATCGTAATTAAATAATAAGTAAAAATGCAGCACGCAACAATCGAGTGACGCGCTCCACTCTGCTGTAACGGAGAAGTGGCAACCGTGACGCGCTCCACTCTGCTGTAACGGAGAAGTGGCAACCGTGACGCCAGACGCGCGCGCGTCTGGCGCGAGACTATGCGCGATTCGTAAATTTCGTAATTCGCGATTCGTGATTTGTGATTCATAAACTTTCGTTGAACATTCAATATGTCTGTTCTTGTATTTAATCGATGAATTTTCCCTCTACATTATTCACGAATATACGAATAGACATAATATATTATTAATATATTCGAATGATGGAGCCGAATTTCCATCATTCTATCGGACAATGTTTGAATATTGCGAAGGCATCTCGCAACTCGCGAACAATCTTAAGACCAAAAATTAACCTTTGCTCGACGTGAACAGAACAAGTTGTCTTGCAGTAAGTACAATTTTACGTTCTTTTTGTTGTTAACTCGATTCGAACAAGAAATACACGAATGTAATTTAATTACATGAATGTAATTAAATTACGTGATGTAATTTAATTACTTTGAGCATCAATTACTTGGGCATCAATTACAAATGCTCAAAGTAATTAGTAATTGAATGGAACTTAAATACAAATGCTGAAAGTAATGAGTAATTAAAATCCCATTTAATTATTCATTATTTTGAGCATTTATAATTCGGTAATGGCCAATTACAAATTCGCCCATCTCTGCATTACGCACGCCTTATGCTTCGCGTAGGACCTCTGGTTCATGTTTGGTGCATGCATTTCGAGGCGAAACACAAAGAGTCAAAGATAGAATCACATGTCGTAACTACTAGAAAAAATCTGCCATTAACACTTGCGTTGAAACATCAATTAAGATTGAATCACAGATTACTTAATAACATTTCATTTACCGATGAAATAATATCGGGACCACATATTTCTATAGATTCAGTGTATTCTCCTCCTCAATTTGATTCCTTTAAAAAATACTTACCACAAATTTACACTACTGTTTCATGGATTGAAGTCCAAAGCATTTTATTTAAGCCACAATTTGTGTTAAGTGTTGACGTAACGGACATTTTACCTGTTTTTGGTTTAATTCACTTTATTTGTTTAAATGAAGCAAAAGAACCGTTTTTTGTTTTACAAATATTAGAGACCCTTGGGTTTTCGAGACATTTATACGCTTATCGTGTTTCGTTTTCAAGTAAATGGAAGACTGTGAAATGTACTAATGCTAGTCAGTACAGCATTACTTCCTTAGTAAAGTCGGTTACTGCTGACTATTTTGTAACAGACGATATGTAATAAAAACGATATCTAATAAAATTGTGTTCAAAGTATTCAAAAAACGTAGCCAAAAACAGCTATTAAATTTTGAAATTAGAGATATCAATTTTACCCTTAAATACGTGACATCACAAATTTCAAAAATTGAAGACTGGTTATACACAGCAATGCCACAACACGTAGTAGACAATTTTTTCAAATACAACGCAAATAAACTCAATAAACACAAAAATACTGTTAAAACTAAAATGATCAAGAAATTCAATTGGCTAATGAAAAAACAAAATACAGTATATAATTCTTTCCTTAATACAAATCGCACTAAATGGATCATGAACACCAGCAGTAAAGAAGTCCCTAAACACATCATGGACTTTTTAAGCTTAGGCGATAAGTTTGGCTTGCCCTTTAACCATAGCAATAAAAATAACCGCTTGAAATATGTACTAGACGTAATAAAAAACTTCGAATGTAATAGTTATAAGATACCTGACAATATAATAGATGACACACGCTTGCGTATCGCCACTTCGCTCAGCAAATCCCTTCGCAAAACTAAACATATACAGTTCATGGAGAGAAAGTTACTAACAGATTTCACTGAATGTAACAAATTCCTCCTTGAAAATAAAGACATAATGGTCACTAAAGCTGACAAAGGCCAAGTGACCGTAATCATGGACAAAAATAAATATGTAAACCAAATGAAGGATCTACTAAGCGACCAGACAACCTATAGGAAACTATCAAAAGACCCTATATACTCAACCTCGACAAAACTTAATAACTTGGTCAAGTCATGGCGAAAAAATGACATCATCGACGAACACACATATTGGTATCTAAATTGTACGAACGGAAATACCCCACGTTGTTACGGTCTGCCTAAGATCCACAAGCCTGGCCTTCCCTTAAGGATCATAGTCTCCTCCGTAGGTAGCCCATTGTATAATGTGGCACGTTATTTACACAATGTATTACACAAATCAATTCCTAACGCTCAATCCTTTATAAAGGACAGCTGGTCATTTGTTACCTCAATTAACAATATAAATATTCAACCTAATGAATTGATGATCTCACTGGATGTCACTTCTCTTTTTACAAACATACCAAAAGAGTTAGTCCTAAAAGGCATTGAAAAAAGATGGAACTATATCTCCAAGTCTACCAAACTTAACTTAAATCAATTCTTATACGCGATAGACCTTGTCCTAAACTCAACCAGCTTTACCTTTGAAGGACAGGCTTATGAGCAAATCTTCGGCAGTCCGATGGGATCTCCACTCTCACCCATACTAGCGAATATTGTCATGGAGGATTTGGAAACGAACTGTTTAGCCAAACTTGCGTTTGAGGTTCCTTGTTTCTACAGATACGTCGATGATATCTTCACGATACTTCCACGCGATAAACTCCCAGAAGTATTAAATGTTTTTAACGAATACCACCCACGTTTGTCTTTTACATACGAAATGGAAGAAAATGAATCACTTAGTTTTTTAAATACAATAGTACATATGTAGAGAAAATAACACACTTATAACCAATTGGTACCGTAAGCCTACTTTTTCAGGTCGTTACATTAACTTCCACTCAAACCACCCACTCAAATATAAAATCAACACAATATATAATCTCATTGACCACGCCACCTTGCTTTCCGACCAACGGTTTCATAAAATAAACATCAAAATAGTTGAAGACATACTTTTAAACAATAGCTTCCCGAAAAAACTAATTAGAAAACACATAAAATTACGCACAAAAAATCTAACACACACAAATAATAATACACCACATAATATACACACCAATACAGACTATATAACTATCCCATACATAAAAGATTACAGCGAAACCATTAGTCGAATCCTTAAAGATGTTAATTTCAATGTCTTATACACGGTCCCCAAAAAACTCGACTGTATAATAAAACGTGCAAAGGATAAAATCGACGTGACGAAACAAACAGGCGTGGTATACCAGATAGATTGCTCTCAGTGTGACACATCTTACATTGGACAGACTAAAAGACACGTAGGTACGAGAATCAAAGAACATCAACGCAACATAAAGGGACCCACTGATAATTGAAGACATTGCTGCAAGAACGAGGTAAGTCCACTTTTTGGCGAAAATGATGTTTTAACACCATTATATGCAACGTTCCAAGCCCGATCGATTGGTGTAAAAACGACGTACGTAAGTGCATTGTTAGTTAAATAAACTGAGATTTTTGGACTTGCCCCTCTAAGCAGATTGGTGCAAGAACGAGGCAAGTGCGGAAAAAAATTACCTAATTTAATAGTTTATTATTTATTTTTACTAATTTATCACTATAACTATCTAAAAGGTACTACTTTCAAATATTTTTGGCTAGTTTATGTTCTGTTGCTAGGCATTTTTTCGATTTTTGGTGCTAGAACGTGGCAAGTCCAAATTAAAAGTGTTAAAATTTCATGCATTTTGAAAGTTTGTTATTATTTGAATAAGTATGCGCTAATGGATAGCTAAGAAGAATATAATGTAAAATAAATAAACTTTCTGAAACAAAATTTGAAAACGGGGGAAAGTTTTTTTCGTTTATCTCGGAAACATAAAATGTGGACTTACCTCGTTCTTGCAGCAATGTCTTCAATTACTCTGTAGTGACAAACCATCGCCTTTCCCAAGACCACAATTTTGACTGGGCGAACCCTTCGATCCTACATAAAGAAAATCATTCACGCAAAAGGGAGATAGCAGAAATGTTTTTTATTAAAAAGAGCAAGAATACCATTAACTTACAAAGGGACACTGACAACCTCAACGTCATATATGATAGCATCATCGATATTACTTGATCTAGTCCCAGCCATTGATATTTATTATAATTATAACGGCCATTATAATTATAAATTAATTCTACCTTGGTGACTTATCGTTAACGTATCCTTGCTATAATTTATTATTATAACTAATAGTTATTATCTCTAACTTATTTACAATTGTAATTTATCTCGCTGACCAATTACTTATACAATTTTAATTTTAATTCCTGATAGAGCTTTAATTTTTACCTAGTTGACGAACTCTTTATATCTTATGTATTCCTAATAACTTATACAATTTTAATTTTAATTCCTGATAGTACTTTAATTTTTACCTAGTCGACGAATTCTTCATATCTTACTTATTCCGAATATTGTTGTAATGTCATAATTGTACCGACTGTTAGATTACCGTCATCTTATTTTTATTTTTATTTTTATTTTCAACCTGTCGACCACTAATGTTTTCCACAACGTATTGTTCGGCAAACTCACCTTTTTTTTTTTTTACGTGTGGAAATCCTTTGTGGATACCCGGGCCCCCCTCCGGGAAGGGAGTTTACATTAAGTGGCCCGGGTTATGTGGGACTGCCCCCCTAATGGCGATCGGGTGCGGCCGCTGACATTGCGACCGCTGGGCTTACCGCACTAAAACCACACGGTGGACTGCGCTGTGCTTTACTTGGGGGACGCCCAGGACTTGGCAGAGCCATTGCTTCTGGACGCCCCCCGCACCGGCCCGCCGTTTGATGGGCGGGCCGCTGCGCTCCCTCCCCCGTTGGTGTGGGGGAGGGGG